TGTCAATAGTCCTGCTTTTTAAATTGTTTGCACTTACAAATTAAATGTTACCTTTGGAGCTCACAATAAATTGGCAGTACTGATGTATGGCAGAGAAATGAGAAAGCCATAGTTGGAATGGCATAAGCACTCTAATAAAAAATAAAAAAGAAAGAGTGTTGAAATAAAGTCTGTAAATATTTGATACTTATTTTTAAACTCTTGCAAAAAAGTCAAGAATTAAGTAACTATGTTTTACTGGCTGCACATTATTAATAAGACAGCAACAGTGGACAATTTTCAGCAGACAACAATTTCTGAGAATATGTTGTGTTCTCTCTTACAAATAGGATGCAAGGACATTTAACTGTGCATAACATGGCTAGATGAGAAATGTTATGAGTTACCAAAATGGTGTGGGGCAGTCTGTTGCCCAGTGAGCCCTATTATCTCTGCTTTTATCTTTTTTTCTGGGCAGGTGAATACAGTTTCAAATAAAATACTGGGCTGCAGTTTCCCACAATTTTTATTTTCTAAGAAAATAAAAGGGCTCAAAGACATTATTGGAAATAATAACAGTTATGAAGACTTTATAGCTTGTAAAGCATCCATTTGAAAAAATAAACTAGAATTCTTTATCAATGTAAAAGATCAGGGGGAAGGGAGCACTAGCTGATATTAAAGAGTATTAGGACACAATTCAAATTATCATCCTTAGGAAGTACTATACACGAAGACAGTCATACTGAGAAGCTCTGGCTAATTTTAATGCTAATTCTAATATGATAATTCTAAGGAACTCCACATTTCAAGCCTGAACTACAAAATATTATTTTTTATCAGTAATTCTAATGCTTCAACACATTTTTGTAAACTCTTTTAAACTGTTAAAAGGAAATTTTACATTACCTCTTTGGAGAAATTAAAAAGTTGTGCATTACAGTCTCTAGTAGAATTTGAAACCTATGTAAAAACAAAACCAAAAAAGCACACCATCTGGGTTCAAATTACATAATTTAAAAGCTATTTCAAATTCCTACCAGTGAACTTACAAAGAAGATTTAATAAAGGCCATATTTATACTAATCACTTTAAAGTAATCCTCAATTACTTTCAAAACCATGTAGCAGCCTACTGCAACTGTCAACAAAACAGAAATGGTTTAAGATATAGGGGAAAACTCATCTTATTCAGTAATAAATTATTCCAGATGAATAGTTCCTTTCCAGATTCTCTCTTTCTTTGTAGTCCAATGCATCCACATAAATTAATGAGGAAAAGACATAGGTATGTTGCATGTAATACCTATTATCTTGGATAGTGTAATTCTAGTGATACAATAATATATACTGTATCTCTAGTTCAGCAAACCATCTGTGCTATTTCAAGGTATTATAAATTATTGTTCAAGTAATCATTTTACTGCATAACAGTTGGTACTATAGAAATAAAAGGCCTGTAGAAAATACAAGAACAATTAATTTCAGATTTAAAGCAGCTTAATACCTGGGAAAATCCTGTAGCAAAGTTTAGTGGCAGAGGACAAGGAATGGACCACTTTTTAATTATTATCTATAAAAAGAAAAAAAGTTCAGTTAATGGTAACCGTACTGCATCCAATCAAAAACTAAGGCTTATCATGCTAATCAGCATAGTTATTAAATATCTAACCAGAAATGATGAGAATAATAGATCAACATATCTGGAGAACCCCACTGTAAATATGTCTGTTATATTTAAAAATAATGTTTAACTCATACAGAATTTTTTTGGCACTGGAGCACTTGTGATTTGATAGAGTAAGTAAGAATAGTGGGAAATAGCCCTTATGCTCAAAAACTGATTGGGAAGGACACAAAGGATCGAGTGCTCACCTTTGCTTGCATTCAACTCCTCTTTTCTCCTCAGACTGAGCACAGAAGTCAAATAAGGAAATCCTATGGTGATTTACTGTATATATATAAAGTCTCCTTCACATCAAGCTCAACTTCTGATAACTACACGGAGACATCCCCATAATTTTCAGTTTGGGAGTGCTATTCTTCCATATCTGAAATACCTTTTCTATCTTTCTACTAATCAGATCTTGTTTACTTTGTCTTGTTCAGACAAGCTCATGAAAGTACTATCTCAAGGGCTATCTCCGAAATGGCAACATGTGCCAGACCAAGCTACAGGATACTGATCCTTGTTTCTACCTTCTCAGAAGTACCAAATAGTGGTACTTATCGAAGGTCAATATTGCCTTTGATAATCAACATCAATCCAATAGTGGCAAATGGTTTTTATCCAGAGAAGTGAACATAGTTAAGTCTGCATGTTTGCAAATCTCCTCTCAGTGCCCACCTAATTATGAGCACTATACTAACTCTCTTAAGGCACTCTGATGAAGAAGAGACTAAATAATTCTTGGGAAGCATTCCTTTCACTTTTAACACTCTTGCAGTTGGCTGAACTTATGTGTAGGTATAGGTAAGAATCAATACATTTTATGTTTATAATGCAAGTGTAGTCCTTCCTATCATGAATCCAAAATTATATAATGGTTGCTGGAATTGGGTATGTCTAGTTTTATGAAGAGAAGGACGAGGGGTGACATGATAGCAGTTTCCAATATTTGAAGAGGCTGCCACAAAGAAGAGGGAGTCAAAGCTATTCTCCAAAGCTCCTGAAGGCAGGACAAGAAGCAACGGATGGAAACTAACCAAAGAAAGAAGCAACCTAGAACTAAGGAGAAATTTCCTGACAGTTAGAACAATTAATCAGCGGAACAACCTGCCTCCAGAAGCTGTGAATGCTCCAACACTGGAAGTTTTTAAGAAGAGACTAGACACCATTTGTCTGAAATGGTATAGGGTTTCCTGCTTGAGCAGGGGGCTGGACTAGAAGACCTCCAAGGTCCCTTCCAACTCTGTTATTCTGTTATAATAACTGTACTCAAACCCAGTACAGTTCCCACAATAAGAAAATGTTCCTGGGCTGTACCATGAGAAGCGGTGATGACTTGTATAAGTGCTATTCTATATAAACAATTCCTAAGCACAAAAACCAAACATGTCATGAAGGAAATGTGCTATATTTCTATAGGTAAAGACATTTCTTTTTTTCAGAGAAGAGCAATTTGTCAAGCAAATCTTGAACCTCTGAAATGCTATAAATCCAAAATTCTATTTACTGTCCATTGGATGTTTAAGAACTAGATTCCACCTAATTGAAATCATTGGACAACAAAGCAAATCAAAGATTACAATAAACATTGAGAAATGAATATAAAGCCCTTACAACATTATATTTTATTAATTTAGAGTAATCATAGTACATTAACTGATTTGAAAGAGATCTGTCATTTGTCAGGTCAAAGTCATCTTATCAGGGGATGGGAAGCATATCAATTTAATAAATAATAATAGCAGCTTGTACTTTTACAGCATAATAGACTGGGAAGCTTTATTAAGAATTGCAAAGGAAGTGTACTAAGAAAACTTAATAAATTTCTGTAATGTCAAAGAATCCCTAATGGTTGCTTACCCAAAGCTGAAAGGCAGTGAGGAAGGGTGGGGGGGAGAAAACTGAATACTGAAAAACTAAAAAAATGTTCCATTATAGGACAGAATTCCACACTCCATTCATTATTCTTAGATCACCATTTTAGAGCAGTTTCAGAGAATAGTTTTCTTTCCTCAGATCACTCATTCTCATAATATCCCTATGAGGCAAGCTGTTAATAATGATAAAAAAGAAGGAAAACAGATCAAGATCACC